AAATGTCAGAAATAGCGTTTAGTTCCAGGTTTTATCCAGCAGCCCAACAAAGCCTGGTTTTAGTTTAGAAAACATGCAAATAGAAACGGATGAACGGGTCCCCCCCCTTTGGAATGGGGGTCGTTTGGCTTCTTTGTTAGCCTGCAATGCCCCATACCTGTCTATGTCTCTGAAAGGGGGGGCGTTAGAGGGAATTGTTGGCCTGGCTGAATAGGTGAGGTCTTCTGTTCTCCTGTAAAGGGGTTGGAGCTGCGATAGCGGGAAAGAATCAACTCTATCGCTGCATTGAAGGTTTTTTAAACCTGCATTGCAGAGACTGAGTTGGCATAGACAGGTAAAACCTGGAACTAAACGCTATTTCTGACATTTTGGATTGAAAAATCTTCCTGGATGGAAGAGAAACGTCTTCAAACTTGGAAACAAAGTCCAGAGGATTGTTTTTAACTCTTTTTTTAAAGTTATTCCAACATGTTAATAAAATGAGGGAAACAGGAAATGGACTGAAGCTCCTCCTCAGTGTTCCACGCGTCACATCTCACCACAGCAGGGTTGAGGCACCAGAAACTCAGAGTCAGGAGCTCCTTCTTGACCCGGATGCTCTGCCGGTGTCTGAAGCGGGGCCGGGCCACAAAGCCCTGGGCATCAGGGACGTCAGGCGGGGCCTGGTTGGTCCATGCGTAGGTCCTCTGCAGTGCGACACGGTAATCCTCAGCAAACCTGCAGACAAAGCCAGAAGTTCTGAGCGGCCGACAACCAACGAAGCAGCAGGGACTGGAAAGGTCTCTGACCGGCTGTTGTCCCTCAGGAGATAATCCAGCACCATGAAGAGGTTTTTCAGGACGGTGGCCGTAGACGAGCTAATGACCTGGACCTGCACCGTGTCCTCCCGCCCGCCGGCCAAACCAACACGCTCCTCCTTCTCCAGCACGGCTGCCAGGTGTTGCTGGTTCAGAGGAACAGTAGATTAGTGACTTCATCAGGGATCGGGCTCCAGTCTAACCACCATAGCAAAGGTCTTTACCTTCATGTTGGTAAAGGTGTCGGCGGTGATGCCCAGACTGTGGAAGATGCTCACTATATCCTTTCCACTCCAGACTTTGCTGGCGCTCTCGAAGCCACGTTCCGATAGGAGATCCTGGCTGTCCTGGATCCAGCTAAGAAAGATCAGACAGCTCAGAGAACAGCTCAGGTTTGGATCCTACCGATCTGAGAAGGTTCACTCATCGACTGACTTGATGAGGACGTAGCAGAAGTCCCTGAGGGGCTCGTGCTTGGAGCGTCTGATGTTGCTGCTGACCATGCCGTCCAGCTCGTCTCTGGATGCCTGCAGGCTGTGGAGGTCTAAGGTGTAGCTGGCGCTTTCTCTGGCGCAGTCCTCGATGTTATGGGCCTCATCCAGAACCAGGATCTGACCTGCCAGGTCGATCTCCATCTGGAGAAAATGAAGATGGATAAAAAGAAGCAACAGATAAGCTTCAGGGACCTGAAAAAGAATCTGCAAATCAACGAGTGTTTTCATGGTTCCTCACGCTCTCTCTGATCATGGGGTCCAGCAGGTAGTTATACGGACAGAAGATGATGTAGGCGCCCTGCATGAGCTCCCGGGCGGCGTAGTAGGAGCAGGCCCGGAGGCGTTTGCCCAGAGTCACCAGGTCTTCGATGTCCCAAGCTTCACGCAGCCCATGGACCCACTGGAGAGTCTGCTGGTCCCGCATCTTCTGCACATTGTGGTAGAACCTGCATGACCGTCCCTGAAAAAGACAAAACAGAAATTTCATTGGTCTGTTCAGGTTTGCTTTCTACTGATCAGAAACTCACCAGTTAGAACATTTATCCATGGAAGCCAGAACACACCGAGTACCATTTTAGGTCCGATCCCTCAGAAAATCGTACCTCAGAGGTGGTGGCGTTTAAAGTTCAATGTAAATGTTGTTAAAAATGAAGTTTTGTTCTCCATACCTTTTCGCTAAATTGTTTTATTTCAGGTTTAAATTTCTTCTCCTAATTCAACCTTTTTTCTATAAACAGCCTCTGACTGTAGAGATGCTTCCGACGCTGCTCGCTTTTTAAAAACAATCTGATGGGAATATAAAAAGTCATTCCAGCCGGTGTGTTCAGGCCTTCAGTCTGCTTCTTTCAACAAATAGGAAACTTTCTGATTCCTGGTTGATGTTGAATGAAGCACAGTTGGATTTTAATTGGATCAATTATCACTAACAAATATCTTAAAGGAAATAGCCCCTGCTGGTGTCCATTACGGTGGCCCTGAAGTGCAAACTGCAACTACAAATCTAAAAGCGCAACTACATTAAGGAAAACACAATAACATTAACCTA